TCCCCTAAATCAAATATGCATACCAAGTATTTCTCCTACACACAAACTTTTATGCTCCCAGAGCATTTCACAATGCAGACACACCAAATCATCCTAGAGAGCAGCCTCATTTTAATCAATTACGAAAGCTTATTTTTTCCCAGAATGGGAAATACCTGCAAATGAAGTGAAATCTATTAAAACGTTAAAATACACTGCCAACTTGCAAATAATTATCTACTTAAGCTTTTCATAAAGAAATAATTGTTACCCAAAAGGATTCTGAAATTCAGTAACTGTAGGAAGAAAATAATTCTTAGCATTTGCTTCCTCACTAACGATGTATGACAACCAGGAAGGCTTCTATTTCAAAAGCAATAATAATGATTACAACTTCCTCTGTAAACAAGTCACATTTTTCACAACTTAAAATGTACTTCAATTATTATAACATTTAACAATAAAGCAACAAAAGTGGCCATCCAACAAGTGATCGTAAATTTAAGGGTTCAACAAGGCTAAAGGAAACTAGTCCTTTTTCGGGTAGCAATGAGGTTTCTGGGCTCTCCTTAACACTCCAAAACATGTTTAATAAGAGTGCAAAATGCAGTCCGAAAATCAGTTAGGCTGACTCATTTTAAACTCTAATCTGTTACGTATATAACAACAGTTACTATCTCTTGAGATCTTTAAATGTCTTGGTGTGTTGTGACCTCTCTCTTCAAAACTCTTTCCTGCCTCAGAAAAAGGCCAATCCCCCCCCGATCCCCCCCCCCGCCCCGACTCCCACCATCACCACCACCCCCTTCCTTTTTTCCCCTTCAGACAGGACACAGTCTGGCAACTCAAGGCCCCCCATAGGCCAGACTTCCTTCTGTGCAGCCCTTTGGGTAGAACTGCTAATCCTTCTTATTAATTAATGAGATAACGGTGGTTAACTGAAAAGCAGTATTAATGCTAACTCTCTAGGAAACTTTAACCAAAATTATTTTAGCCTTTTGGCTGATTTTTCCAGTGTACAAAATTGTGCACTGAGAATTTCATAACATTGTAATGCAGAATTGAGAAATTCCAGAATGACTGATTTACATCAGACCTTAACACATAGGTCTCTTCTTTAAAGTTTTCTCTCACTCTTTTTAAACATGTATTCTGTTACACATTTCTAACTAGAGAGGAAAAACCAGGGCCTCTCAAATGTTACTATAAAATTTGCAAGAGTGGAAAGTGAAGGAACTAGAAATTGCATAAGAAATAAGCAGTGATGTGACTGAGAGCAACAGTCAGTCATAATGAATGCGTTACACATCACTATGTTAGGTTTGTCTTCCACACACTTGTCGTAGTACACCCTGCATCCTATAGGACACTTACATCCAAGGAAGGTGTGCTGTGCAAGGTTTGTCTGGTTTTTGTTTGGTTTTATTTTGCTTTGCTTTCATCAATGCAAATAACAAAGACAATATGGGGAATAGGTACCACCTGCCCAAGAATCATTGGACATCTTTAATATCTTTGGGAAAATGGATATCATTTAAAGCTATTTTTTCTTTAATCTGTCACAATTTTTTTAGGCAAAACCCAAAAAAAGGAAGAGTTTTATATTAGCTAAGGTTTGCTGCAGCAAACAAGCAAGCAGCTTTCATTCAGGGATTGTCAAAAACTTTCCAGTGTGCCCACTGCAATGCGGATGCCAACCAACGAATCAAAGGCATTCAGCAACTAGACAAAGAGGGTCTGATGCCAACCTCGGTGCCACTGGCAACCATTATTGGCATCAAACACAGTGTCTGCCTTTTTTTTCCCCCTCGCCTGGCACTTCACAAACAAAATGGCGGTTCTTGTAGCAACGAAACAGCCGAAGCGCAGCCCTCTGAATCAATAACATCAAATGATTTTTATGGATTTAAACGCAGTTACTCCCAAATGATGTGTACATTTTAGGTGAAATGCAGGGGAACATTTAATTTTATAAACAACTATATTGAACATCACCCTTTTCTAATATAAGGAACTAGCAAAATGGACTGAATTGCGGTCAACCAGACTATATGCATAGAAGCCGAATAACAAAGAGATTTAGCTTTAAAGAAAATCCTGCCTTATGGCCGTGTAATGCAAAAGTCTAATGAACTATATATTAAAAATGATTTCAAAAAGCATAAATTTTTCCCCAAACCATATCAGATGCAGATGTAGCACTACAGCTTGTGTCAAAGCTCTAGTAACTCTTTCCACATTTCAGAAAGATGAGGCTGCTGGGCACGAAGAAAGAAAAAAAGTGTTGGTTGAACCAAAAGAGAAAGAGGTAAAAAGAAATGCATAGGAAGTTGGTCAACAATGAAACTTTACTATATGTTGGTCTTTATTTCATCTTCCAGAAGAGATGCAGTATGTGATCTTGTATAAATAACCAAAAGGACTATTGACATTTCTAGATCTGGAAATTGTCAATATATTGTAACATCACTCCACACTGCAATGCGGATGCCAACTAACAAATCACAGACGTCCTGAGCTAAACAAAGAGGGTCTGATGCCAATCCTGGTGCCAGTGGCAACCATCTTTGGCATTCTCTGTTCTTTCTCATGTTTTTCTCCCAGTCAGTTAGAAGTGGGGAGAGAGAAAAAGGGGGAAATGTAATTTTGTTGCTCTTTCTGTTACAGACGTTACATTTCTCTTTTCTGATTTTTCTTTCATGTTTTCCTTTATACTTCTTTACCTGATTTATAAAACACACTTAAGTGGGTTATCATGTACTTAGAAGAGAAATAAAAAGTCATGACTCTCAAGCTGCAGCCCTCTGCCTAGAGAATTATCTTTTAAAATCCACCTTCTTCAATCAATTGCACTACAAAACAATGTAATTAACCTACACTTGACAAATATATATATATAAATTTTGAAAAAGGAAAGACACAAAAGCATCCTGACGAGAGTTTTTCAAAAGAAGAACCAACAGATGATAAGAGAAGACGATGCACTGGCAGGTAGCAGAGGATACAAGTTAGATGAACAAAATAAAATAATGAAAAGTTCTCAGAACACAGATCGTTGAACCAACAACCACAAAATCAGTGTTTTATCCAAAACGTGGTCTCTAAGAGTTGCTTAAAACTTTATGATTATCATGACCGGTGGTGCAACATGGAAGACATTTATGTATTTTTTTTTCCTTCTTTCAATCTATCTTTACAAATCTTTATTGTCAGTTCATGAAAACTAAGAGTTGGCTGCCTGCCCCAGGAGTAAATGTGCATGTGGGCAGGTGCACCTCAAAACCTAGTCTTCAAGCAACTTAAAAAATGAGCAGTAAGGAAGTGGTTGCAAATCTTCTCTCTCTGCACTAAAAAGTTACATGACCCACTTTTTGAAACTTTACTTCCTTGACTTTCACAACACAGTTATAACACATTTATAGTCAATTCAACACATATATACAGCCCACCTTAAAGTGTCGCCTACTAGACAGCTGTCAATCAAATTAAGTGTCATGTGTTAATGAGTTTTATTTAAGGACACATGGGACAAAAATATTATTTTCCCCAAACCATCATTATTTTGACTGTAATTCTTAAATGCATGGAAATATGAACTGCAATGTTGCATTTTTTCAGGAAAATGCAGTATTGCTAAATGTGCAATATCCAACACCATTATTTACAATCAGACTAAAAATCCTAAAATGACACTTAAGCATATCGCTAAAACTATGCCAAGAAAATCAAGACAAAAGCACATAATGAGTACCTAGATTTTAGAGTCAAAAAAGTAATTTTGATTTTTTTTGAACGATAATAAAGTCATAGCAATTTATTAAGTCCCACATTTATATAACAAACATCAGATAACCGTCTGTAACCTGGCTATCTGCAGGCCATTTTTCCCCCCACCAGGCCAAGTTTGGAAATGCCCACCATCTGTGACAGCTCAAACTTCAGTCTACTTTTGGTATGCTGCTTTGTAAAATGTTTGTTACTATGGACTGTTGCTAATGCAAGGACATCTATATCTTGATGCACTTATTTGAAGAAAATACATTCTCACCTACTTAAGGAAAATATATTAAGACAAATAAAAATAATAAACATATTTCATTAATTCAAGTATTCAGTAATAACATCGTCTTTTTAAATTAATTATTTAGGCAACATCTATACCACTCTCCTTATTGGGTATTTTAAATAATAGGTATGGTATGCGGTTTCTGCATTCTTTTTGAGATTTATTTTAAACCAGTGTAACCAGTCTGCTTTCTGTTTTTCTTCTGTAAGGAGTGCTACAACTTTCCTCCTCGGTAAGTTTTATGAATTTACACACAAGTAAACTAACATTAGTAAGCGTTCCCAAGTAACTCTGGGAAAATATTATAAATAGTTTAAATAACTCAATTCCATTTAATCTACAGTGAATACTGCACAATCAAAAGTAGGTGTTGATAGAAATATGAAAATTAAGTAAATCTAGGTCTACGTAAGATATGCCTTTTGATACTATCTATTTTAAGCATTTTGCAATAGTAAATGTTAGTTCTGTTTTCAGTGCAATACACTAAATTCAAAAAACAAAGTCCCTCTACCTCATTAATTAAAAAGGTTAATACAAAAATTATTTAGGATGGTTTGACTATTCATAAATAAAGTTACATTTTCAAATCAGGAAAAGATTACAAGACTAGGTGCAAAAATGTAGACTATGAAGGAAAGTGAAGTGTAATTAACTTTATTTGTTAGACTACCCTATGTCTTTGAAAAAGAATATCATTTTAAAGATACTTGAAAACGCATCTCTTTGTGGTCTTAAATATCCACGCCTATCCAGGTATGAAAGCTCCGCGTCTATTTACATGGTTCGCACATGGCAGTGGGCATGTGAGTGAAAGTGGACACCCCACTGTACCCAGAGAGGGTGGAGGATATCTACGGGCCTTGAGGACCATCTAACCCAAGCCAGGTACTCTGTCTACGGCGATTTGTGGGCAATGTTTGCCGTGCTAGAAAAAAGAACAATCTGTTCCTACCTTGCTCCTGCACGTAGTATGCCAAAAACAAATCAAGCTCCTTAACTGATACTGTGATATGATGTGGCTGGACACAAAGTGCTGGGTTTGTGCAATGTGGGGATTTCATGAGCCGCTCTCCATCGGTACTTTCCAAGGGGATGCCTTTGAACAGGATCACCATGACTAGATCCAGACGCCAGACTTTGTCTGCCTGTCGCAGGCAGTCGATTCTCCTAATCTTACCCTTCTGGTCGGGATTGGATAAGACACAGCACGGGTGCTTCTTGCCAGTCACGGTGAGCACAAAGTCCTCTCGATACTCCTGGCGGATATCTTTGCGCAGTTTGGCCAGGAGCCTGGATGCCCACTTCTGTTTGATTTCAGGCTTTTCACTGAGAAGCTCATCTTTGACTGCTCTTTCTTCATCCTTTGACATTCGCTTCTCATGCTTTTTAAAGTACTTGCGTTTTCGAGCCTGCAGGTTGAACCAAGTATAGGCAATTGCACGGACGTGTGGAAGAAGTGCCTCGATGAATGGGTGAAATTCATCCTGTGGAAGACGGGTGGGGAGGGGTGAGGGAAAGATGTGCATAGTCAGTTTAATTTTAAAAGCTCAAAAAATAAGAACACAATCCGTTTCCAATTCAGTACAAAAAGTTATGCATGAAAATCACATTCCTTTCTTATTTAAAATTATCAAAATAACAGGACAAGAAGAAAGTAAAGTATGCCCAGCTGTCCCCTTTCCACCAAAATTCACAGGTCAATTCTCCCTCCTATAAAGAAAATAAGATTTATATTTTGTATTTATACTCTGGCCCCATCCCCCTTGTTCCCACCCCAACGCCATGCATTCTACATTCTTTAAAATATATGCAACTAACTAAGGTGCTTGGCACCTAATATAATATTTCAATATTTGATTCAACAACTAACACTATGCAGTACCATTTTACAAAGAACACAGTGAGATTTTTTTTAATCGAAGCAGAGCTGTTCAGAAGGCAGGAGCGATGCCACAGTTCATTTCTCTTCTCTGTGGCACAGAAACACAAAGCATATAGATGCTCAGTGTAATGCCACACAGTTCCCGCTTTTGGAGCATGCTCTCAGCAAGAGGCTGCTGGTGGCACAAAGAGCATGCGCCATTAAACTTGATCCATTTTCTTATCAAACGTCCAACATTCCAACACTGAAACAGCACCATTCCAAGAGTGGTAACTAGAGAAACCGGTATACAGTAAGGGAAAGTGGGCAAAGGACACAGCTCGTCGTATCAGTGTCCCGAACAGAAGGTTTCCATACTTTAAGCAGTGCATTCTCTCCTCACACTACCAACACCAGCTCCCAACACACACACACACACACACACACACACACTTGCACTCTCACACACACTCTTGCGTCTTTTAATAGTTCTCAAACTTGAAAACAAAAATTACATAAATGTTCTTCCAGCAGCTTCCAGTATAGAATATGAAGCCCTACAGAGTCCGTTAATTTGTTAACCGATCACATGAGTATGTCAATTATTCTAAACCCCTTAAAAATCAATCTGATGTGAACAATGAAAAATGGCAACTTTGCACCAACTTTATTTTCTTTGTGTCTCTGCATGCCGTGGTAGGATGACACCAGGAGTGCGCTGCTGATCAGTTACTGCTTTTGTGGATTCTATACAATTCATTTGCCACGTAGATGAATTCTCAGACAGAACTGTGGGTGCATATACACATGTGCTTGTGAATTTGCAGGTACATAGATTATATAGTACCCGTCTTTTGAATTAAGTAGTTTCCCTGTAGGCTTCTGCATTTTTCCTGCCTGTTTCATCCAGCCTTTTTTTAATCGAGGGGAGCAGTGAGGAATGGCAGATAACCTTTACTTACAGATATTTCAAGTTACTTCCCAGTGCAGTCAGTTTCACTACTTCCTGATTTAGGTAAAACCTGTCTTATAAGCTTAGGCCTATTACTGTTCAAAGAGAAAGAGCTTAATGTCTTGTGCATGTACACCGTATGTATGCAATAAGCCAAGCTTGAAGCAAATGAGAACTTCCACCACCACTTTTCTGATCATATTGACTATATTGTTCAGCACAGCTACAAAATAACTCTCTCTGATTGTATCCCAAGTTAGAATTTACATACCCATGTTAATCACCCTGAACTACATGGAATAAATTCTATTTAGCCAGTAGACTGACTAATTCCATTAGGTAAATATGATGAAAGTACAACTAATGATTCTTTAACAAAGAAGGTGTCAAAAAAATCCAATATAGATATGAATGCAGTTTTAAGAAGAAATTCAAAGTTTTAATGCTACACACTGCAACATGCACTTCAGCTATGGAAGTACATGTCCCATCCAGTCAATAATGTAGTTATCAAGTGTTCTAACATTGCTGTAAATGTTCCTACACCAGAATAAGTATGAATCAAAATTTTATAAGAATACAGAATGCAGATGATTACATCACAGCATGAGGCATAACCAAATGCCATAGAGGAAATCATTAAACCGATCAGTAGTTTCCAGCAGAGGTTTGAACAATTTGGTTACTATGCGAGCACATTAAACTAGGCCATGGAAAGAGTTAAACCACAATCTGTTCTTTGTGTGGGAAGGCAGCCCTGCTCACAGCAACCACATCCCATGATAAGACCTCCCTATCTCCATACACTTTCTGATGCCATGCTTTTAGCTTTCACTGTAACTACAAAAACTTTGTTTATCCCCTTTAGGAATATATGCAAAAGGAAAGTCTGCTCAAGGAAATGTGGACTTAAATGTGCTTTGGTAACTCACTTCCTATAATCTATTACTATGATTTATTGATATGACTAAAAAACACATATATACACACTCATAAACTAAAACTTTGAGAATGTAAAGAGCACATGAGGTAGAGTGGGTGGGCTTTGTCTCACTCACTTTACCCTTGCCATGCTTTTTAAAATGCAATATAATTTTACAAATATTAAGCCCTGTGGTAACACATAAGTACTTAACGTCCTTAAGTACTATGTTCAGTGACATTCCATTTTCTTATAAAGACATAAAACACAATTTTGATTAAATTTTTTGAGTTTCAATATTTGACTATAAACATAATCTATCATGCAAGAAAGTTCAAAATTTTAATGAGTTATTTTAAACAACCAAATCCAAATTTGAAGGTTGAATTTGAAAATTCTTAGCAAATGCACACAAAACATAGTTTTTAAACATTCTTTTGAGATTGCTGTCAATGCTGCCAAATATTGTTTTAAAACATCTTTTTTTTAATTGATAAATAGAAGTAGCAAACTTTCTCAGGCTGCCAATTTGCCTTATTGATATCGTTCAGGCTTTCACTATCATGTGAATTCCTTTCAGGTGAAGCACTTATTTGACAAGGGGACATGTCTTCCAAAAATGACTTTAAGTTGAGGTTTGCTCTAAGTCACATACATTTCTGTATTAACATGCCTAAATGTCATCTCCCAAGTGTGACTGTTTCCTAATGATGAGTAGCACTATATTCTTAAAGATTATTAGACATGAATATGGAACATGGTAACTGCCCTGATAAAAAAAAGTTTTTAAAAAGGCAATTAAGGTTTCTAAATATCCTAACTAGTAGCGGATTATTACAATAACATTAAGCAACTACAAAAAAATTTTTTAAAAAAGCAAAACATATAAAAGATTTAAAATCAAACAGCTGTATACAAAGGTAATATACAACTTTGCTCTTTCAGAATTTTTATTAAAATGTATTGGTGTTGAACTCTCTTTTAAAACTTCCTTTAATTGACCTAAATTGACAAAGTAAATAACCAAGTTACAAATTTCAGATATAAAAGTAAAGGGTGTTAATTCCACTAAGCATATTTATTTTTCTTCCGCTTCCATGAAAGGGATGGATAATCAGACCCATATAGAGGTAGGAGAGTAAATACTAAGTGTTCTTGGAGCATTGCTATGTAACAATAAACCATGCAAAAAAATGTACCTAAAGAACTTAAAAGCAATGAAAGAAAAATATATGTAATGCCATCATGCCAATTGAAAGTTACATTATTAATAGTTTACATTATTTTTAACAAATATTAAACCATATGTGATAGGTCTTAATTTTTCTTTTATATCTGATTTATACTGGTATAGAAATATTGATTATTGATATGCTGATTCTGTAGCATATCATTTTACTAAATATAACATTTAATGGTAGGTCCTTTTAAATAAAGATTTTTTTTCCCTAAAACCTAGATGCCTTATTGCAATAATTGAGATACTTTTAAAGGTTATAATAAATGAAGAATGATACTCTATTTTGCAATTTACATGTCCTGAAACATGTTTTGCTACAGCTACTAGGCTCTTGTGATACAAAACTATTGATCTGATACAAAAGTAACACTATTAATGCGGCCTCACTTTTATAACACCTACATTACCTGCAAAGTCACATGGAGCTTTGTGAAGTGAGAATTCTTAAGCTAAAATTCCTTCCCTGGTATGGGCCTTGTTTTTATACATAAGCCTAGATTTGTATTATTAAAATAGTAGAAAATATTAGTCATCACAAGTTATTGTTGGTAAGTATGTATCTTTGAATACTAATGTGATAGCTGAATGATTATGCTGTATATGCTCCCAACATTCCATATGTCTCAGTGCTGCAATATTATTTTTAACTTACACAAATTAAGATAAAACTAGTGACTTTTCAATACATATTTGGAGAAAACTAAAAATGCAGTGTAATTGCTAGCAATGTTTCTGAAAAGCTGATGCTAGAAATAGAAATACAGAGAAATGCACAATTATTCAGTCTTTTACAGGTGAGAATAAGTGATGCTATATTCTGTAAGTGAAAATCTTGCTTTGACTTGTTTTATTTGTTCACGGTGTAAAAATAATATCAAGTGAACATAACTTATCAGAAAGAGAGAAAAATATACCCGGTTGATGGGTCACGTTAATGGTAACTTTACAACTAAAGACAATTCGTTATACCTGACACAGTTTCATCATAGTTATTGGCTATTATCATTCATGGCTTTTAAAATACAAATAGCTCAGCAACTCATTTTTACAGTTTTGTTAAATTAAAGTGCATGTTTACTTGCTGAAAATAGCCATATCTAAGTTAATCATACTCGGATGCCAAACAAAATATAAACAATAAAAAATGTGTCAGCCAAAAAGCTACAGGACTGTATCCAATCACTGAATAAGCCTTATCATTGTTTTCATCTTCATTCACAATTTATGAATGCCTCAGTCCTTTTGAATCACAATGACTTCTAATAGTCACACAATTGAAATCTTAATTATTTGTTCATTATAAAAATGCATCATCATGATATTAGATATTTTAAAAATCTGAACACACCCAAGACTGGCTGACACTTCTTTAACTGATTAGTTTTTATGTCAATGTCAAAGAAAATGGTTATCAATTACCAAAGGTGACACATCTTCCTAAAAGCTTAAGTAAGCTGCCCCATACCTTTAGAGGTTGAAAATACTGCATCAAATAACAGTTCTGGGCTAAGATATTTTAGTTACTTTGTCAGCTGTTAGTTCCCTGGGCAGCAATGAAAACTGCCCTCAGGTAAGTCTGTTGGGTCTCACCACTTTTCTATTTGACCGTCTGGCTTAAAGTGATACAAATCGTTTTTTTAAAAAGTATAAAGCCAGTGTTTTATTTCATAACATTATTCCTAAGGTCTTAGGACAATTCTCAAAGTAGAAAAAAAAATGACCTTACTTTTCCAGCATTCCATAAAATGCCTTACGAGCTAGCTACGCCCAAATATCGTCAAACGAACAGGTTTCCACAAAATGAAAACATTCTAAAACTCCTTAACAATCACCAAGACAGCCTAACTCGTGTCAACGTAAAGACTGCCTTTGTGGTGCGGTCACTGGAAACCCCAAAGTGCAGCGGGTCATTGTGGACCAGGGTTTCAGATCCCCAAATAAAGCAACGGAATGGGTCCCCGGACCACAACCTCCGACTTGCTTCGTCGCCCGCCCACCGCCTGCAGGGGAGTCCAGCAGCGCCCACATAGACTCCTGCTACAGTCCCCTCGTCCAAGTTCACCGGCTGTTTTTAAAAGCTTAGTCCCCCTAAAGTCCTCCTAAACCCGAGTCCGCCTCGAGCTGGCGAGGGAGCTGCGGGCACCTTGGGCTGGGATGCCGCACCGCAACGGGCACTTGGGGGGCCGCACGGGGCCTCGCACTTACGAGTCCCGGCCCTGCCCACCCCCGGCGGCCTCGCCCGGCCCAGCGTCCGCTCTCCTTTCCCAGGGCACGGGGCTGGGCGCTCGCGGTGGCCGTGGGCGAGGGGCCGCTCTCCGGCTCCCACGCCGCCCCGCGACGCCTGCTCCAACTCCGAGCCACTTCTCCAAGGGACGGGGATGTGCAAGAGGTTAACTCAAGCCGTTAATTGTCAGCAACAAAACAAAACAAAGGCATTTCGGGCCAGAGAGAAAGCTCGAGAAAGCGACGGAGACATGTACCTGAGTGAGACAGATGGGAGAATACATCATGACTTCGCCTTAAAACGCACTTTCCCGGAGATGCCCAAGAAAATCTTCTAGAAGCAAGAATTTCATCTATTCATTTTACAGTCATCTGAGCCCGCGATGCGATCAATCAGGACCTGGCTCTGCGCTGGATCACCGCAACTTCACAACAAACCCAGTCCTCCTTAAATAGCCAAAGATTCAAGTTCACTCCGCGTGCTAGATTTCCCGGGGTGAAATCCAATCTACACTTTTAACCCTCCTGCAGTCCGAGGGCGCTGGCCGTGCTTGCCGAGGCCGCTGTCGCCACCGGTGTTGGCTGCTTTTCGCCTGGGTTTGGGGATTTGTTTTCTGTTTTGCAGTTGTTGTTGTTGTTGGGGGGTAGGGGGTGCGCGAAGGTTCGGTGTGGGTTGGTTTGGGGTGATGGTTGGTGGTGAGATGCTTTTTGAAAAAAGGCGGGGAGGGGGGCGCAGGAGGGCGGGCGGGCGGGCGGGAGGGAGAGTAGGGAGAATGTGTCACCGCGCTGGGAAAGTTCAAGGTTACAGCCCCAAGCACTGCGGCAGGATCCCGGAGTGGTGATCGCAGGCGAAACTTTGCCGCGAGCCGACCATGTGTGTGCGCGAGGGGCAGCGTGAGCGAGTGCGCGCGGGTGGCTGGGCGCGCGCGGGAGAGGGCAGGGGTGGGGTGGGGAAGAAGGGAGAGGCCGGGGTGAGGGAGGGGGCGCGAGCGCTGATCTCCCGGGCGGAAGAGGCTCGCGGCGCGTGGTCCCCGGCTGCAGCAGCCGCCGCCGCCGCCGCCGCCGCCCGCGCCGGGTCTTCGGCGCCCGGCCGCCCGCCCGCCCGCCTCGCCCCGCGTCTGACCCGGCCGCGCGTAGAGGCTGCTGTTGCCGCCGCTGCCCAGAGCCCAGGGGGATCGAAACGATCTCCTGAAAAATTCCAAACGATAAATCCCGCTCTCCCGCTCGGCTCCAAACTCCTCTCTTTTCTGCTCTGGGCTCTTTTTTTTTCCCTCCCTCTCTTGCTTTCTTTCGTTGCAAAACTTGGAAGTTGAAAAATTCACCGGTTCCACCCTCTGGACCCCGCTCGAGCTCTCTCCAAATCAGACTTAAGGATTGTTTTATTATTTAATTACACAATCATCGCTTTACTCCTCCTCCTGCAAACGCGCATTCCTTTTGCACCAGCCTCTCCACACCCCCCGCCCCCCACCTTCCTCCTCCTCCTCCTCCTTCTCCTTCTCTCCCCCCACCTCTCCCTCATTTGTTAAAGGTATCCTACCGGTGCCACAGAACCATGACTTTTTTTTTTTTTTTCCAAAATATCTCTTCTTTCCGCTGCCCTCCCCACACCAGCACACACAAACACTCCCGAAAACCCGCCCTGGAAGAGGTATTTCGGTGCTCGCTGTGGACTCTTTAAGCTGCAGGAACATCCGAGTGGGAGAAGCACTGAACCGGTCTGAGCCCGAGAAAGGAACAAGTGGAAAATTCCCTCACACCCAGGCCGCCCCCGGGCCGGGGCTGGGGCGCCGACACTCGCACCCGGGGCGGGCACTGTCCGCGGAGCCCGAGGCTGCAGGGAGGAGGGGGAGACCGAGCAGGCGGGGGCCTGAGCGAACTTGGGCTCAAGTAGTTGGGGAGCCCCGGCAAGGACCTGAGGGACTTGGCGCCCAGCCCCTGATGGCCTCGCCGGGAGCCCGGGTTCATGGGTAGGGAGGGGGTGAGGGGTCCTCCCGGGTCTCCCCACCGCGGGCCCGCGCCCGGGGCAGTCGCGGCGCGCGGCGCTTCGCTTCGGTTTGCCGCCCTCCACTGGGGTGCCCCGTGCACGTGGCCTCACTCGGAGCGGGAGGACCGGGCCGAGCCGCCGCCGCCTCCTGCTCACTCCTCCTCCTCCTCCCTGCGCCCGGCTCCGCTCTTCTCCTCCTGCAGCCCCTCTGGCTCGCTCCCAATCCCCACCCCCCGGGGCCCGGGGCGCCGGCGGAAAGCGTCTCCCTACCCGCCCGGGTGCAGGCGGGGCGAGGCCGCGGCGCTCCCGGGGCTGCGGGGTGGGCAGGCGGGGGACGCGGGCGGGCGCGCGCGCGCGCGCGGTGTGCGTGTGCCGCTGCAGCCCTCCAGAGGCGGCTTGCCCGGAGCCGCTCGGCGCCCGCGCCCGCTCCCCACCGCGGCGCTGCCCCGCCCCCACCCCGCCGCCGGTGCCGGCTCCGAGTGAATGAACTTGATTCCGGGGTTTTTGAGGGAGGCGGTTCGCCTTGCACCCTTTCTACACACACACACACACATACCGCCCCCCAAATCCGGTTTTCTGCTTGGGGTGGGTGGGGAAGAGGTGGAAGCAAAGGACGCCCAGACAATGGAGAGAGGAAAAGTGAGCGCCTGGGGCTCTGCGTCTACCTAGCGAGGGGCTGCGCCGGGGGCTAGGGCTGCCGGGTCCTCCCGGGCCCATCCCCAGGGCGGGGCCGCCCCGCTTCCACGGGTACAGCTGGGGAGTTTCAAGGCTCGCCCCCGATTCGCCTGTCCTCGTTCCACCGCTGCCCAGCTCTGGATTTGTCCCCTCAACTTTCGCCCCTCTCAGTCCCTCCCGCTTTTGCCCACCTTCCCCTCCTCCCTCCCCCAGCGGACCTGGAGGAACCAGTGACTTTTTCCTTCACCTAGTGGGAGTTATCCACATCAAGCATTTCACAACGACACATCAAGAAAAGTAGGCAGGTTCAAGTCAACCATGAAATGGTCACTTTTTAACCCCGTCCTGTCCTCATTAGGGAAATGCTCAAACACAGTCAGTTTTCAAAGAGCGCTCTTAATGAGGCGAGCTTGCCAAGTTTACCAGCTGCAGCCCCCGCAAACCCAGAGCCCAAAGAAGAAAGGCGCTGGGGGGCGGGGAGTTGAGGAGGCCGGGGAAGGGGGCTGCTGGGGTTGGGGAGACAGGTAAAGTCGGGGAAATCGCGCGGACCCCCGCGAGTTAACCCCTTCGGCCACACGCCCTGGGAGCGGCCTCCCTGCGGCCCCCGCCCCTGCCCCGGCAAATCCTCGAGTCAGCGTTCTGACAACGTTAATTTCCTTTGTGCGGGTCATTTCTTCTTTTTGAAAAGCTGGGATAAAGTTGACAGTCCTTTTGGATGAAAGAAATGAGGTGACACTCGGGGTTAATCCAAGTAAATACTCGTCTCTCTCGGAAATTTTAGGCAACCTCATCTTAGATTAAAACACACACACAAAAACCACCGCCGCGAAAGCATCACTTTGTATTGCACATTATACTGCATCCCTTTTCTCACCCTCACCAGATTCTGAGGGGAGGGGGCGGGGACGCTCTACTGATAATACCAGCTTTAACTACTGGAGTTTCCCTTTGAACAAATATTCAATTTAACCGGAGTTAATTTACCATAAAAGACATTCCCCTTGGCAGGAATGCACTCATATCCTTGAACACACCTCTTTGAAAGCCCGGACTCTCATAGAAGCCATTATTTCGGGGTCTCTTTAAAAATCGAGCGCCCATCTCTCCTTTTCTCCCTCCCTCCCTTCTTCCCTCCCTCCTCACCACACCACCCCCAGTGAAATCCTGGCACCCAGAGAGCGCTCCTTTCAGCCTGAGAGCCCAGAACCAGCCGTTGTCCCCTGGCAAAAAGAGGCCCAGTGCTGAGCCCTGGGCTAGTGTCTCCCGACATCGCTACCCCTCCTCCCTTTATAGTTTCCCTTCCCAACAGAAACCATTTCCTTCTTCCACCAAAACTAGGTTGCATCCAAAACTTTTTCACAACCTTAAAAAAGAAAAACGAAAAATTGACAAGCATTACACAGAAGAGCCCAAAAAAGCTGCAGCAGCTCCAGGGGCGAAGAAGCAGCGTCAGACCCAGGTAAGACCCCAGAGAAGTGAAGATGTCGGGGGCCTCCCAGACCCATCACTTAGGGGTTCAAATCTCTTTCAAGTCTCCCACGTTTGAGGGTGCTTATGGCTGGTTGCACTTTGATGACCATGGAGGATGCTTGATAGTTTTGGGGTTTGATTTGTTTCCCAGAAAAAGGAAAATGAGATAGGAGTAATGGTGGGGCAAGGAAGACCAAGCAGGAGTAAAGAGTGAGCAACAGACTTCCTGAAAGGGAATGTTTGCGGGGGTGCTCAGTTTCTGTGGCTTTGACTATCTTCTCAGGCCTTGCAGCCATGGTGGAGAATGGCTGACACCCCCAAAACAGTGTTTCTCGTTCAGCCAGTGCCAAGGTCATTGCAGGCCTTCCCAGGAAGAACTCTAGGGAGTCGTTTGGAATGAGGGGCTGGTGGATTTCGGTGCATGGGATGCCTAGTTTCTCTTAGCACAACACTTGTCCAACACCTTTGGTTTGAAAATCTCAATCTTTTAAATCCCAGGTAGAAGGAGGAACTGAGAAGTGCATGCATTGTATTCACTTTCCCTTTTTTCCAGCACGTCTGTGTCATGGTATTAAGAGTGGTTTTAAAATATCTCTGAAAAGCTTCTGATAATATCAAAATGGGCCAGACACTTCTTAAACTTTGGTACTTACCACTCCTAAATTCTTCATCTCTCCCTCCCACACTGAAAGGAGTAAAAGCACTGGTGTGACAGGCCACTTTCATTTACCCCAAAACCTGGCTGATTCTCTCAGCAAGAGGAAACTCTGATATTTCAGTGTTCCTAAAGATCTCCTCCCTAGATCACCTATTCCTTGCTATCTTATAGGGAAAAAAAGTTTTCTTTCTAACTAACAGAAAGTTTATTGATTTCTAAATAGATTCCCAGTGCTTCACTTCACTGGATTTTTCAAAACCCAGTTGTATATTTGAAATAAGCAATGCTGCCACATTTGAGTCTTTCACTACAGACGTCCAGACAGGAGCCTGACATCTCAAGTATCTAATACTGTTTTTCTTTTAACCTTTTCCTTTCTAAAGAAACTGCAGCGACAAGTCGCAAATCCTGGGCAGTTTCATGAAAGATTTCTTGGAGCTAAACAAAGCTGTCATTTTCAAGACACCAGATGACTTTTTTTTTTTCTTTTTAGCTCTTGCATGTGATTTGCAAGAAGGTTCACTAATTCCACATGCCCTGGCTGCATCGCCAATATCAATATTTAAAAACTAAATACAAAAGAGACAGATGACCTCCTGACCCCAGAAAGCAGGCCTGCAAAACTGCAAGTATCTACTGCACCATGCCCAGGGATCTTTCCTTCTTCCAAATGAACCACAAAAATCACGCCTGTGTAGTCTGGAAAACACAAATTTATATCCACAAGGAGGAACACCAAAAATCCACTCATAAATGCATATATAAACAACCAACAAGTATTGAAAGTGCCTGCACTTGATGAGAATTGCAAAATCAGACCTAGCTCTTAAAGTAGTACTGAGTACTACTACTACTGTCCACTACTCTTAAACAAAAATCATACCCAGCTCTTAAAGTAGTACTGAGTACTACTACTACTGTCCACTACATTTAAACAAAAATCATACCCAGCCCTTAAAGTAGTAGAGTACTACTACTACTGTCCACTACTCTTAAACAAAAATCATACCCAGCCCTTAAACTACGACTGTCAAATTAGGGTGGTAATTTTTCCCCCACCAGAGAATTCACAACTGGTTAGTTTCCCCACCCCCATTGCTAGCCATTTGCCTTTCACTGAAATGAATAAATAACCTTGGACCTCTTTCCCCTCCTCTGGGAGCTGTTTGGTATCCCCTGAGGACAAAAGTAAATGAGAAAAATGACACCGTTAATAATGTCGCTGCTGAAATGCCTGTACTACACTGTGGAAAAAAAAAAAAAGTGTCCCACTAAGTGTGTCTACGTTTCGAGCATATTTACAATCTGTAATATAGCTCTGATCTCAACACTAACTCGGCCAGTTTACTCCATTAAGTTTGGCCGGTTTTTTCTTCACAACAGAGATGAGGCCAGTTCATCAACAGAGATTCCCAACTTTGAAGACACTTGCTCCACAGATTACAAAGTCAGCAGTCACCCTGTAACTTTTGCAGGATGTATTTTAAACTTTGAAAATAGAGGTAATAGTTGCCTTGCTTCATCCTCAGTGTTACAAAGATTGCCTATACTCTCTCACACAGTTTCTCTTGTCTGCTGATATTGAGAGAGTTGCAGTTATCGCTGTTTTTCAAAATAGCTAACCTATAAAGTAAAACTATAAGATCATTTTATTTCTACATGTAAACTGGCTTCTGTTACCCATATACACATGCTTTGTAACATATGAAAACAGACGGGTTTTTAAGACAGGTATAGAAAGCTTTGTCCAAAATGGCTAAGTAGTCTTTACATTCTGTATTAAGTATAAAAAGTGCCTGACAGAGCAACTCAAACTTTCTGCACCTCTTTCTCTCATTTCGTCTTTGAAAACTGCATAACAATGAATAACAACAGAATTTCAAAATCAAAACAATGCATAACAGAATTGTGCATTTTAATTGTCAAATTAAAATTTAAGAAACAATTACATAATTACAAAGAAAACACAAACAATCGGGCCTAAACAAAATATATGTTCAGCAAACTTTATCTCTGAATGTATCTGAAATTTTAACTATACAAGCCAATAAGTTGCAAAGCAATAATATTGTCAAATTGTGAAATGTCAAAAAGTCCAAAAACAAAGTTACAGATGTTAATGACATCACATTTACTCAAAATTATGCTGCTGTTCAGTCTGACCATATTAAAATTAAATGGATGCCCATGTCTGCTAAAGAATAAAAATTTATTTGGGATCTCAAACAATGAAACTGTCACAATTTATTGTATGGAACACTCAGTTAATCAATTTACTATTAAAATAGCTTTCAACAATACTTGGCTTTCAAATTCATCAGGGCCAGTAAAAACGTTTTCCCAGTGCACAAGAATGCAGTCCCAACCACCGACGATAATTACCGTTCTAATAATTTTATTGCCCAAGTACTTTTTCCTGTGCTCCTCATCACTTAGGCAGGAATCTGTAGTATATTGTATCAGTGAGTTGGAGTGCTTGACCTTTGCCCACATATGATTTAATAGGGACTTTTCAGCACTAGAGCTTTCTCCATGTCTCATACCATTAAATGAAAGCATCAAACCTCAAATGCAAAACTGGAAACCACAACATTTTGTGTTTCACAAACTCTTTGCAGTTTTTACTTAGGATGCTTAAAAGGTCAGTTTCTTTGCTTCACAATGCTTTTCTTCATATAGTATATGCACTGGAAAGTCACACTAATTCTGATTTTGATTAAATCCTGAACTCCTCAGTCATATACACACGTCCGCCCTGCTTATTTACACGTGCATTCTTTTCTAACCACATAAGCATGCGTGTGTGACTTTCTGGACTTATTCCATTTTCAGGCTGATTTAAATGTCTGTTCAAGTGTGGGTTCAAAAGTTAACTTTTTCCCGCCTATTGGAAGTTAAAATTACAAGGATGGTGCTATGAGATCTGTTCAAAGAAAAGTCAGAGTTAATCTTGTGTATTTTGGCGCCTTTTCCTTGCCAGCTACTGTGCTTGGGGGGTGGGGGGGAACTTGGAGATCTTGTCTGTCCTGTCTCAAGTTCAGTGGCAGTTCTTCCAACCCGAGCAGAAGATGGCCATGTTCACAGCCCTAATAGTAATTCTGATCACGCCACTTCAGCATCTTGTGTCAAAGTCTAAACTGGCTTCCCCGCCCCCTTCAACCTGAAAGCTGCCAAGTCCTCACACACTTCACATTCAACCACAACTTAATGGATGGGATATTGTGCATTAAAATGTGTCCCAGACCTATTGGCGAAAAGAGGACAAGGGGAAAGGGAGAGAGACAGAGACACACACAAACTTAGGCAGAAGAAAGAAATCTTCAGCAAAAATAGCGGGGTGGGGGGAAAAGTATTAACAGGAGTGGAAAGCAATCCATCATCTGTTTTTAAAAGTTGGGGGGTGTGGAAGAAAGGCTAACAATATGTGGACACAACTTCAGGGATGAAAGGATGGGGGGTGGGACTAAACTTTAGAAATTCCAACACACCAATCAGTGTTAAATAATACTTTCACTTAAAAATGAATTTTCAAATGAGAATATCTGTGAATTAAAATGGAGAAAAGAATGCTTCAAGAGGGGAGAACGGCCTGCAAGGTAGAACTAAAGTATCATTTGAACAGTAATTTTTTCCCACGACTTAGGTGAGGGGGATAAAGTAGGCAGTTAAAGCAGAAAAAAGAAAATATGCTACGTTCTGTACCGTTTGGACTCACAATGTTACTGATTCCCGCCATAAAAGTGTGTCACATGTACTAAAGTTGCCAACGCTAAATAATAATACGTACATATTTGCATTAGTTCTTCATATGCAACACTACAGTTCAACGTGTAAAGCAGAAATGACATTTAGGAAAGGGATAAAACAGCCACTTTACAATCCACAAACAGGAAAAGAAAAACTGTGCCAGGGGTAGGAGGGGGTGCAAGGAACAAATAAAAGCAGCAAACAAAACCCATCATTTCAAAGCCACATACCATCGCACTGTATTGCATTAACTAAAAGAGATCTTGAGTCTGTAACAGAACCCTGGGCCGCTGACTTGACGTGTCTCAGGTACAGATTTGTGGATTTTCTCAGGGGTGGCTTTGGTGTCGCTTTTTGTGTTTAGTTAAAAAAAAAAAAAGCAATCCGGAGTAGTCTTATATATTTTAATTGTAATTTCTGCACTGCCACAATTCTTGGCCCGAGAAGAAAAGGCGGTCAAAGTCAAGTCTAAAAGCAGGCAGCCCTTCAGTCTGTCTGGATTTCCAGCTTTCTTTCCTCTCCCTTGCAGAAGGCTGTTTCTCGTGGTCGACTTGAACGCCGTCCAGGATGGTGTGTGTGTGTGC